GATTTTCATTGATTGAATTATATTTTCAAATTGATTACATACCTTCTTTTGTTGAAGAAACTTCACCGATTGTTGATACATATGTTGTTGTTGTTGTTTTGATATCTGAAAAGTTTGTAAGATGAAACAAGTCATAAATCGACAAAATTCGTATTTAATTATAGATAAAACTGATTAAATACCTGCATTAGTTGACGAAGTTCGATTTGTTATAGCTATTGTTGTTGTTGCTTTTGTCCTTTTCGTAAGAACAATAGTAGTCGGAATAACAATTGCTGCAATGACTACGACAGCAACAATAATACCCAGAATAATCCATAATTTTTTTCTTTTAATGCCTACATTTCTAAGGAATTCAAAGTTTGTTTTTGAGAAATTTCAAATAACAAAAAGAAAAAAGAATTCCTACTGTGCCATTGATGATGCATGACTTGTTTCTGACACCATTGATGAAAATTAAGTAATTCAAAAGATGAACATTGAAGATTTAATTCAAATGATCTACAATAGTAATCAAATTTTGTTTTATGTTATTGTAATAATTTTTTATAATTAAAATAACCCTGATGTATGTATTCTCATTTTCTCGTTTTTAATAAAATGAATTAGCATTAGAAAAAAAAATTCTCAAATCTCATGTGATGACATTTACTAATGATTATTGATATTCTCCATCTGTTATTTTAATTTATACATAGTTATTTTTGAAGTCGTATAGACATTAGAAACTATTATCTACAAAACATGAGCTATTTATTCAATAATCATTTACAATAAAAAATATCATAGAAAAGCCTTCTGTGTATGAGTTTTTATTTCCGTTCATTTTAGAAAAAGGAAGTTTGTCGACGAACATATTTTAACATCTTGATTATGTTGGCGACTACCAAGGTTCAGTGTTTTTTTGGATATATTGAATTTTTTTGTTAAACCATTGGATTCGTCTGAATTGATTTTATTGATAGCATATATTACATTTTAAACGTATCAAAACAGAACAATAGTCCTGAAGAGTAAATCTTCATTCTCATCTGATTTTTAGCCCTAAGTATTATTCTTAGCTTGGGCCTCAACAAGATACCTACTTGCAGCTTAGGTTTTTTCTATTGATGATAACACATATAACTGGATTCGTAGAAAAGTTCGAATCAGTCCCAAAAAAAATCAATGCTGAAAGTTGTTAGATTATGTCACAGAGTATTTTTCGCTTCTCTGGAAATAAAACTTTTATAGTAGAGAGAACAAATGTATGCAGTCATTATTGCACTGTATGATGCAGAAGTTTTATTTATTCTTCATATTGACTGTTCGATTTTGTCTTTCCAACATTAACGATCGACTTCATTGATAATTTGTGAGGACTAGAAAAGTGATAAACGTAATGGCAAATATTTAATGCGACATCAACTACCATTAACAATATGTCATAATTTTCTTTGTCAATTTGAAAGTCTTTTCATAGATATATATTTCGGAATGTGAGAAGAAATATTTGCAAGAAATTATTTTTACATTAGATCATTTTTTTGTCTTGAGTTTAGTTATTCTATGTTTTTTTAAATAGAAATTACTTAGTAATATGCATTGTTTTGAAATGAAACATATTGGTAAAGACGTGTCATTCCGGAAAACATACTTTTCTGTAATGCATTTTATCTAAACCCTGATATATAAGTGTTATATCTAATGACATCAAGTATATTATATTTATCGTTACAATCTATGACCATAGGTATAGCACAAAATGAAATTAACTATTGAAGAGAGAAATATGCACGTAATACTGTAGATTTTAAAATATACAGAACGGAAAAGCGGATCGTAAATTTTTAGGGTTTTTTTCAGGATCGATCGAAATTCATGTTGCCTTCTTGAACAAATAATTATATATTTAATCGCTGATGGCTGTGAGATTTTAGTAGGACACATAAAAACATGGAAAGAGTGTAACAAATAGAAAAAAGAGAAAAAGAAAGTGAGGAAACAAAGAAAAATTTTATTCTTGTGTGGATCAATAAAAGTCTCAGTAGAATGCTCTAATAAATATAAAAGTTTAAGGTGACATGAATTTAAAATGTATCAGAAAAACTTTCCAAAGTATGCAAATCTAACATGTCAAAATCAGTTATTGACAGAGAACATCTCCAACTGTCAAATCGTTTTTCGATTGAATATATCCGCAAACGATAGATATCAGGGAGTTATTACACAAC